GTTTTTTTTCTTTTCATTTTTACCTCTTTCTACATTCCTAGATTTAAAGGGATAGTTCAATTTTGGGTGAATTCTGTTCCTACTTACCAAGATCAAACCAAAGCCGCTCTGATGTCTTTGTGTGATCTTGGGTTAGATCAGATGTAGCGACAAGAAAAAGTTACCTGCATTTATGTCTTAAAATGTGGCTTAAGTTACAGTTGAATGAGGATGATGAACAAACACAATCTATTTTCACTAATAACACACAAATCATCGTGTTGTTTTTGTCCATATCGAACACGTCATTCAAAGATTCGCAGTGTAGGTTGGGGAAAGTATGTGAACCCTCAGCTAATGACATCCACAAAAGCTAACTGGAGTCAGGGGTTATCAAACCCGCAGTCAGTGAAACCAGATTAGAGGTGTGGGTTAGCGCTTGGAGCCGGCATAGTTGATTTGCATGAAGCTGGGTTACAGAGTCATCACCAACTATGTGTAAATGGAGCTGATTTAGTTCTGTGGCTACTCTCTGGAAAAGTGGGCGTCCAGCTCAAATGACTCCGGAGACACAATGCAGAATAATCAGTGACGTAACAAAGAAGCTCAGAGTAACAGCTCAAAGGAATCATTGGAGCTGGTTAACATCTCTGTTCATGAGTCTACCATATGCAAATCACGGTGCCATGAACACCGTGGAGGAAGACGCTACGCTCCAAAAAAAGCATCACTGCGCCCCTGAAGTTTGCCAAAGAGCAGCCTGACTCTCCACAACACTACTGGGAAATGTTTTATAGACTGATGAGATAAGGTTGAATTGTTTGGGAAGAACACACAGCGCTATGCATGCTGTAAAAAAAAAAAAAAATGCTCTGCATACCAACATGAAAACATCATGATTTGCGGCTTTGCAAACCTCTGGGCCCGGACAGCTCCACATCATCAAGGAGAAAATGAATTCCCAAGTTTATCGAGGTTGCTTACTGGATAATTTCAGGGTGGCTGTCCACCTGCTGGAGCTCAGGACGAGTTTGGTGATGCAGCAGTAAATCTACAACAGAATGACTTCAAACAGAAAAAATCCACCTGTTGGAGTGGCCCGGTCAGAGCCCAGACCTGAGCCCAGTAGAGAATGACCTCAGAGAGTCATTCACACCAGACATCCTGTGAATATGTCTGAGCTGAAGCAGCTGAATTGTTCCTCCTGAACACTGTGCAGGTCTGATCAGCAGCTACTGGAAGACCTCACGAAGGTTGTTGTTGCCAAAAGGAGGTTGGACATCCACCGGCACTGTGAATGTTTAACTGGGCGTGGTTCAGTAAAGACACAAAAGATAATAATTGCTTGTGTGTTATTAGCTGAAGCACATTGTGTTTGCCTACACTTGTGACTTTGATGTGGATCAGATTATGTTTTATGGCCAATTAATGCAGAAACAAAAGGTAATTCCAAAGGGTTCTTACTTTTTCTTTCTCTAGTAAATTTAGTATTTATACTGAAGGATTTATTTATGATTTCAAACTCCATCCTATATGTTGAATTGTATACTTTCCATTGGACAAATTCTTCATGTTTGCCTGTTTAATGGACCTGCTGTGCCCTAAGATTATGCAAACAATTAAATGTAATTAATTAAATTGAATTTACAATAACATATCAGGTCCTGAAACTATGGGACCCATTAAATGAAATTAAAGTGTGACCTTCATGTTTGATGCGCAGTGAAAGTCTCAGTGTTCCATTGTCCTGCTTTTGAGAGAAGCTGCTTCTTGACTCCATTCACATCCAGTAACTTTTGAAAGCTAAGCTAGCCAGTCGCCATCCCTTCACATCACATCACGCCCCCACAAAACAAGGGTCGATTTGTGTCCATGGAAACACGATGGAGCGGGAGAACGCTCGGTGTGCTCGGATCTTTCCCCTTTTTCAACCCGTCCATTCTCCGTGACCACGGCCAAGTCTGCCATTTGCTCAGTTGACCAGAATCTGGACAATCGGACATGACACTTCTGGCTTACGTGCCATCTGGGAATTCAACATGGATCAGATATAGAAAGGAAGCCTCTCAGGCCATTGTGTGAGGATTAATTCAAGCAGTAGACTGGACAGTAGGCCTGCTGCTCTGTTGATACTGCTGATCCCCAGCCCACCGCTGTGGGACGGCTTGTACTGCAGAGGCCTAGTGCCCCCTAAAAGTGGGGTCCTGACCCTCTGTGTTTGTGTGTGTGCGTGTACATTCAAGTGGGAGATTGCTGTTTTCTTGCTTATAAACTGTCCAATTCCTGTGTGTGTGTGTGTGCATGTGTGTGTGTGCGTGCGCGCGCCCACACTGTGTATTTGAGTGAACAGCTCAGGTTTCCTCAGAAGAGAGGGAGTGATGGTATTGCGCTTGGATACTGTGGGGATTATGTAAGACAGCAAAACAAAAGTCACCCCAGCTGCCAATATTCCTGAGTGTTTTGTGTGTTTATCTGCACAACTTGCGCGTGCACACACACACATGCGAGGACACACCTGATTTCAGTTGACTTTTGCCCCTTTTCGCGAAGAAACTCGGTCTTCAAAGACAAGCCAGAGAGAACACGGTGGAGCGTCATAGGGGGAACTGAAGTCCAACAACACCACATCTATCTGATGGCAGAAGGCGCCAGCACCTTGTTATTGCTTCGTTTGGAATTTCCTTTCTCCCGTTCTCTCTTAGGCCTTTTGTAATCATATTCTACAACCGGACGTCAAATTTACCTCTTGCAGAGTGCAGAGAATGCCTCTCCAGTCCACCACCACCACCACCACCACCACCAGTAACACACACTCGCTTTCATTCTCTGTCCTACAAATGCCTTTCCACAAGTCTGCACGTTACAGCTTGGCCCTTGCATAACTGTGAACTCTCCACTTACTGGCCGACTATTTGACCTTCTCCACTGTCTGTGCTTATTTCCCTTCGTTCCTTCAGGTGTCAAGTGAAGTCTTGCATACGTGAAATACATGCAAGAAATGAGAAAATGTGAAAATAAACAGTCTCCCAGCACATATAGTCACTATTTGAAACATTTTTCTTAGTAGCTAAACTGAGCTGAGATGTGATCATGTTGCTTTCTAAAGGAATTTGAATCATTTAACTTTTTTTTTTTTTTTTTCTTCTTTCTTCATCTGAAGTCAGCTGGTTCGGAGTGACACTCCTCTTCCACTCCCTCCCCATCAACCCTAAACCCCAACCCAACCGCAAAGTATGCTCTGTTGTCAGAAACAACAAGTTGGGTTGGACCTGATGGCCTCTCACTCTCACATTGCTTGCTCCATCTGTTTGAAGAGATGGTTTTTTTTTTTTTTTAGGTTGATGTTTAACAAGACTTCAAGGAGAGAGGAAGATGGTCAAAGTCAATGAAAACTGCTCGGAGGAATCACTGGATGGGACTCAGCTATTTGACATGATGGTTTCATTGACAGTTTTTTGTTGTTAGTTAAAAGCAGTGGAAAGTCTTATTCTAATAGATCCAAATCAATGGACAACTTTCTTCTGGATTGCTGTGCAGGAACAGCAGCTTTGGATGTGATGGTACCACATGATCGGGGCCGAGCTGGCTTGAATTCACCCAGGTATTAGATATAATGATACACAGATGCTGCCTCGACCCTATTAGACTGAATATGGTTTGGACCCATTAACTCATCATGTAATCTTCCAAGCACAAGTGTAAAACCTTAAATCTCCGATGATATCAACTGTTGTGTTCATTTATCACCACTTTTTAACATCTGCCTATGAAACTGAATCACATAACTTGGGGAAAAAAAGCAACCATGGAAACCTGACTGTGACTAAAGTTCAGCGGTGGCCAACATTTCTCAGCCCACAAGCTTGTTAATGGAGCTGCATGTGGTTCCTCCGCTGTATGAGAAGGGAAAAGGATTCGAGTGACTCATTGATTGTGCTGGTGCATTTCAGAACACTTTAACAGCAGTTTGGACCCCAACCGCCCCCCCCCGCAATATTACCATTAGTTAAAATCTCAGTTATGTCAATGTGAAAAATTGTCACAAACACAAAATGAGAACCTAAATAAACAAGAGTGTAAGTGTTCGCAATGCATGGTTGTGAGCGTTGTGCTGTGGAGGCCAAAACAAAAAGAAAGAGACACCGTGCAGATGACAACCGGAGTGAGAGCGGGGCCAGCTTTTATAGCCTGGAGGGGGGCACAGGTGTGCTGGATCAGCTAACGACCTCCCTCATTTCAATTAGGACCAATCACTACACCACACAGCGGGAGGTAACATCCTCCCTTCCAAACCCTTTTATTTACTTCTCCCTCCCAAGCCCACTTTCCCAACAAAAATAAATGAATAAAATGGAGAAAGTTGATTAAATTGCATAAAACATACAACAAAATACCCAAAATACATTAATTGATGAACAAAATGTTGCTCCTGAAGGCATCAAACATTTGCAACATGGACTATAAGAAGAGAAAAGAAGACTGTCAGGGAGTCTAGCTCTCTGTAGTCTATGAATAAGAAGCAGTAGTTGTCATTTTATTCCGCTCAAGGAGCTCAGACTGCGGGGTCAGCGTCACCTCTGCAGCTGCTCGAAGTCCATCTATCCATTTCCACAAACCTTTTTAGCAGAGCGGCCTGCACTCTTTGTCACTCTGAAAAATGATCTGTGCAATTCAGAGCTTATCTCACCCCACTCCCAGCCTCTAAAAAGCCCAATCCATTACCAAAATGATGGCAGGAGGGCAGCAGGGTGGCTGAGTGCACAGGGAGACAGTCCAGAGGAGTCACAGGTTAAGTGCTTTCAGCGGCAAACGTGTCCATCAAAGTGTCCTTGAACAAGAATTGAAATTCTTTCCAGCCCAGTTTAATTTCTACTCTGTCATGCATTCTTGTCGGCAACACTTTTTTTTTTGGACTTTGTTTACAGTGCTTCAGTTCATTTTATCGATAAATTCGAAATCGAAATTCTCAGATCCTTACAGTTTGATCTGATGGCTTTTACGTGGTGTCTCCACAACTACAGGTGAGGCTGTGGAGCCGCTGCCTGAGCAGGGCGTGAGTGAGATCCCGGCCGTCCGGAAGCCCAGTAAAGAGACCCCCTGGCTGGGACCCAAAGAGAGCGCAGTGCGCCAGCATAGACAGGAGATGAAGACCAAGATGAAGACCAACAAGGTGGAAGAGGTCAAACCTACTCGGCCCAAGCAGGTGAGGCAAAGCAGAGCTTGCGTTTTCGAGGAAAAGATCTCTTGCAGTGTTCATGTTGAAGACCGGGAATCAGCAAGGTCTTTTACCAAAAAGACATATCTTGGACTTGAACAAAAGCCACTCCAGTTCTGTTTGAATAATTTCAATGACTGTATATGAGAAACCAACTCTGTTTACAGTCATAGGAGACAAAGAAAACCAGCAAATATTCACATTTGAGACGCTGAAATCAGTTCAGTTTACGGCATTTTTACTTTATAAAATGACATTAATAATCACATATTCCTGAAGTTTGAGCTAATTTTTTTTTTTTTATTGATTTTCTGATTAATATAATTGATTAACTGACCAGTCATGTCATTTATTCCTAAAACAATCAGACAACATTGTGTTAAAGCTTGCACTCTTTGAAATACATGGCATCATGATAGTAGTGCAGGTGTAAATATTCTTTAGTCGCCGAGGGTGGAACAAAGCAGCGCCTCCCTGTGGTGCAGCAGCCCGTCATGTTTGGATTTTTCCTTGACAAGTGTTTTATTGCTGTATTTAAAGATGATTCAAAGTGCAGTTAATAATTGAAAGTGTCAGTAAATATGAGAAGAGCACTTTGAATTCATTTCAAGGCTCAGGAAGGAAATACCAAATTATAATTTTAAAGGGGATTAAAACTGTCATGGTACAAAGAGAAGGTTTTTTTTCCCCCCCAGTTCATTTTCCTTCCATTTAACTCTCACACCAAAAGCTGCCCTTTAATCAAAAGGCAGATATTTTCTGACCTTAAATACACCTGAACCGCTCTGCATCCTGGAGCCGAGACACATGGGTGAACCCTGGGCATTTCTAACCAGCATCATGGTATTTTCCACCCGCCATAAAAATCATTTAAAGGTTATTGCTCTACCAGAAACTTTATTTCTCGTGTGTCCCAACAAGACATTTGGCTTCAGTGAATTGTGGGGTAAACCCGAGGTCACTGGCAAGAATTATTATTCATTACTGGCAAGAATCGTGATTCATATGCTCATTACAAAAAGCCCTTCAGCTTTCTAGGTTTACTGTGTGTTTGTGTGTGTGTGTATGTGTGTGTGTGTGTGTGTGTGTGTGTGTGTGTTTATGTGCATTTTATTAGATTTTATGTGCTGTGTCAAAAATGTGCCGATTTCCATGCAAGCACATCTTAGTGTTGCTGTATCTTGGAACAGTTTTCTGTTGTGCGGATGGATTTGACTAAACTTTTGAACATTTTCTAAATTAGATTTTCATTTTAGAAAAAAAATAAATAAATAAAAACAAATTAAAGTTATATAAAACATCAGATTTCTTTGTTAGAAAACACTTTTTGACGTTGGCCGCCATGTGTCACAGAAACCTTGTGGCTCTCACACACCCAGATGTGTCTATGCGGGCCTATAAACATGACTGCTGTTGTTGTCTCTGCTGTTTTCAAGACTCAGTGTCAGCAGGAGCTCGACCAGGTCCTGGAGCGGATATCCAAGATGCCCTTCAGAGATAACCGAGGTCCCCTGGAAGACCTGTATGCCCTGCACATCCCCAACTGTGACAAGAGGGGGCAGTATAACCTCAAACAGGTGAGTCCAGGCATTTTGGGAAAGAGGATGTTTCAGTTTATTGTGATTCCAGAGAGTCATGACAAACCATAGCTGTTGTTTGTGCAAACGAATACAGTAAAAGTGTGTATTATCAGGTTTTTTTTCTATAAGCACCAGTATTTAAAAAGATATCTTTGAAAAAAGATGCTTTATTGAGAGTTTTAACAAAAAGAAATGCTAAACAGGTGACTTTTCTATCATTATCAAGGATGTAGTAGGGAAAAATGACTCAAATGTCTCTGAATATAGAACTAAAGGAGGAAAAAACATATGAATCAATGTTTTTTTGCTGTGAAAACTTGTTTAAATTGGTGTGTGTGATTCTTTACAACCATCATTTATGTTTCAGTGCAAGATGTCTCTCCACGGTCAGAGGGGCGAGTGCTGGTGCGTCAACCCTCACACCGGCCGACCTATCCCATCAGCCCCCACCGTGAGGGGCGACCCCAACTGCAGCCAGTACCTCAGAGAGCTGGAGCTGGAGCTCCCTGACATGGCCCAGATATAGTGTGGCATGAGACTAAATAAATAAATAAATAAATAAAAACTAAAAAACTGTAAAGTACTTGGGAACAAAGAACATCTGAGTAAGCTATATATTATCTTTCTGTGTGTATGTTTCTCTAGTTCATTTGATGACAGTGACATTTCAAATCTTAACCACCAAAAAGGATTGAAAGATAGAGTCCAGCTTGCTGCGTAGGATGTAAGTGCAGATTACTTTTAAGGGGAGCAGTAAAGATAAGACTCCTTTTCCTCATAGATATTCAGTAGGCGTCAGCTGGAGTGTCAGTGTCTTTGCTTTACTAATTGTGACTTTGCTCAGATTTGCTCTGTTATCAGTGTTTTGTACTGTATGTGTTGAAAAACGAAAAAGCCTTCAACATATTTGGTGTTTTTAGGTGTGTGTTCGTGTCCTAGCTTGCAGACTACTGTTACGCCTCATGCTATACTGTAGGCTTTGAGTACACCTGGCTTTTAATACACAGTTGATACGTAGTACATGTTGGCAGTAGCGTGCATTAAATGTCCAGCGCTAGGGAGGACATGACTTTAGACTGCCTAGTCATAAGCAGATAACGCTATTAAAATGTTATTAAATTCAATTTGTGCTCATTGTGTTTTATTTTGCCTCCGCGCCAGTGAGAGTCAGTGCATTATTGTGATATCGCAGTAACGCCATGATGGAATTCCTTTATATGGACTCAAGGATGAACTGATTAGATTTTGGTGGTTAAAGGTCAAAAGGTCAAGGTCACTGTGAGCTCACAAAACACGGTTTTTGGCCATAACTCCCAAATTCATACGCTAATCATGACACAATTTAACACAAATGTCTAATAAGAGAAAATGATGATGAAGTGATGATGATTTTATATCCAAAAGGTCAAAGGTCAACTTCACTGTGAAATCATAATGTTCCGCAAAAAGACTTTTGGCCATTATTTCAAGATTATTTCAAGAAGATTGTGAACATACTTCCTGCAACTTGGCTGCTTGACAGAGGCATACAAATGCATTTGTAATGCTAGTTTGAGAATTAGAGGAAAATAAAGAAAAAAATGAGTTTTTTGCCAAAAAATGTGAATACAGAAAACAGACTCATCAGTGTGTTAGCTTTTTGGTTGTACTGCAGCATGCGTTTCAAATCCTGGGAAAAACCCTATGACTGAGATTTATGAACATGCAGCCTTAGTTTTTGAACCTACCCCCTTAACATCATGAGTGAAATCGAAGCCATTATGATTAAGTTCTTGTTTCAACCTATTGTGGCTTGTTGAATTTTACTCAAAAAATCGTAAAGCTGCTCTAATCCTATATTTTCATATTAATAATGGGTGAAATGTAATGTGTAATGTGATAGTCGCCACTCGTAGTGATGAACACAGGTAATTATCCCCCAGCTTTGAAGCTCCCCTCAGCTCTGTGGAGCATTTTAGTGTCTGCAGCTATGCTAACTACACAGCGAGCACTAGGGGTGGAAACATCCCCATCGGTGATGTCACAGTGGGTTTTGACAGCGGAAACCACCTGCATGGAGCGTCACCTGAGTGTCTTTAACAGCGTCAAGGTCACAGAGATGACTATCACACAAAAGCTCACCGGCTGACTCATCGGTTTACCATCTCCAAGTTTCCACATTTCAAGACAAAAGTGCAGATCTGCATTTTTGTGAGTACAGGAACTTTATTTAAATAGTGATTTTGTCGTTTAAAAAAACAAAACAAAACGAGTACATCAATTACACGCCTGATAAATATTTCACCATAATGTTCACATTAATCTTTTTTTAAAATTGAGATTCTGAAATGTTCAAAGTGTCACTGTGTTGTGTTTACATGTGTGCAAGAATCAACAGCACAAGAGAGGTGTTGTATTGGGAAGAAAAGGCTGATGAGCCCCTGTCAAAGCTCTCCTAATATCACAATATAGTGATTTGACATTAGGAATGTCTGAGATTATAAGAGTCGTTAACTGAACATTAAGATTATAACAACAATAACAATAACAACAACAATAACAAAAAGGACCAAATTTTTAACAATAGAACAAAGAGATTTGTCCGCCGTCATCGTACGTTCAGCAGCGCTTGACTAGAAGATCATGATAATCTTTGTCAGCAACCAACTGAAAACCAAAAAAGAATTGTTCCAGACCACATCCACACCTGAAATTTGTTTCCTCTTTTCTCCCGCATTCAACAACCATGGATCCACATGCAAATCAAAATTCAAAGTGGCGTGGGGCAGAAGGCACTTGAATTTACATACAAACTCAGCGACCTTGCTCTTTGCTGGATAAAGGACCGGATGAGCCCTGAGAGCAAGTCACTATCAGCCGACGGATTTGCCTGTGTGGTGGCAGTGAAGACCCTACACATGGAAAAATAAGCAACGTGGGGCCTTTGCATATGATTTGGGTGCGAGTTGTGGAGGGAAAAGCACAGCGCCACGTTTGCTGGCTGGTAGCTTGGGTAGGCTGGGCTCATACAAATTTAAAATCAGAGATATTTGAAGTTGAGAACTATACGGGCATGGCACATACACACACTCAAGAGCATGCACACACACACACACACACACACACACACACACACACACACACACACACACACTAAGTCCATTAACAAACAGTGGACACAGTTGTCAGGACTTGAAAATGACCTTTCAAAAGTCAAATATCTAACCTGTTACAGCACAGTATTTGTTTATGAGTGAGGTTTTATCCTAATTGCTTGTTCATGAAAGCACTTTGAGCCTTTCTGAGCTTAGAGCAGGAAATCTAGTGAGCACCAACAGTGAATACGGAAAATTTTTAAATCTGCTAATTCGGCATTGAGACGGGTTTGATTGTCCAAAATACAACCTGCTTCACCAGTGAACATAACATTTGACAAGTAGAAGCAAACAAGGCTCATCTGACAGTGGCAAAAAATAATGAGCTACAGTTACTGCTAAGTGCACTGTGAGGGCAAAGTTTTAGACCAGAACTAAATGAGAAAATAAGCATCTCTAACTGGCAAAAACAGTTCCATAAATCATAAGCATACTGTTGTTAGTTTCTGATTTGATTTCCTAGAATTTAATGCTGAACTCTGAGCACGGATTTCTATTTTCTCCAGACAACCTGCAGAGACGAAGGGAAGTGACTGCTCCCAGCCAAGAAACAGAGCGGTACACAACTCCCCCATAAAATGGCATTTTTACACTGGTTTTTGTATGGATTCAACAAACAACATATAACATGTTAATTAGTGATTTTTAGAGGTGCTGACAGGATGATTTCGTCCCCTTCAGACAGATCCAGGCTAGTCGTTTCCCCTTGCTTTTCCCTAGCTAAGAAATGGCTATCAGCTCATTCTGCCTGTCCCCTGCCCACACTGACGGTATAAAACACCCAGTCTCCTGCAGAATCCTCCCCCCTCTTTTCCTGCTTAGTCTCCTGCAAGTAGGATAGTGTTCAGTGACAGTAGGTTGAGGGCTCTTACATGCCATGTCATTCACACAAATAACAGTTAGTAAAACATTGCTAATTCATCATTTAAAATATGTCTATTTCTTGGAGTAAATTTAGGAATATAGAACTTGCCACGCAGACTCAGTACACAACAGGTTATCAATATCATACAAATATATATAATTCTCTATTATCTATGGATATAAAGAGAAGAGGTGTTAGCTAACCTCAAACATAGTACACAGTCAGTGGGGAGCCAGAGTTAAGACCCACATGTGCAGACTTTCATCTAAGCAAGCTTTTCAGTTTGGCTCCCCTTCGAAAAACAAAAAAACAAAACAATAACGCAGTCCATCACACCTGACCATATAGAAGCATTTGTGCCATATTTTCCTGATTGGCAGTCATTACGTGTGCTAGCTTGATTGGCAGGTTCTCAGAGGAACAGGGCTCAACGAGTACGGCCACTTGGACTCTCATTCGTTGCTGTTGCTGCTGCTGTCGAGATCTTTGCACTGCAGGTCTCCTCCGGCGTAGTTGATGCCGGGGATTTTCACGCCAAACCGGTCGACGCACCAGCAGATCCCCCTTTTTCGACCACGAGATGGTTTACACTGCGAGAAACAAGTGGTTAGAAAAGTGGTTAGAGAAGCTTGTTTTCTGATGATTTCTTGTGGTATTTCTGCTTCACTGCAAAGTTGTTTCAAAACCACAATGCTGTTACAAACCAGATGGTATCCATACCTGCTTGCGCTTGAAGAAACCCTTCTTGTCACAGTTGGGGATGTACAGAGAGAGAGCCAAGACCCGAGAAGTGTCTTTCATGCTCTGAATGAGATTATCCAATCTTCTCCTGCAGGGCCCCTACACACACAGACACAGGTGTGAGCGCTTGTGTGATCACAGTGTGTATTTGTGCACCAGAGTTAAAAACTATGACTCAAAATGCCCTTGAAAATTTGCGAAAATCCCCAGAAATCAAGAATAAGGAGGAGGGAAACACCTCCACTAATGAGAACTTCAGTAATTTGACATTTCACACGTGTTCACACCACGTTGTCACGTGTGAAACTGGCCCTGCGGGGCATCTTGGCTGATTTGTCAGAACTGGTTTCCTTCCAGTGTGCAAGACAAATAAAGCCTGAAGCAGTAGGATGCAGTATCTGCGATTGCTCTGAATTTAAAGTAAAGCTGCATTTGTCAATATCCAGACCAAATATGCTTCAGAAAAGTTGCTTCAAATCTCGATGAATGGAGCAAAAACTTTGCTCTGAGCTGAGTCAGTTTTTCACTCTGGTATGCATCTTTGTAGTGTCTACTTCACTTACAAACTCGGGGTCCAGTTTGTCCAGGCTTAGCGGTGAGAAGTCCAGATTGCTGGCATGTCCCACCCTGGCCAGCTGCTTCTTGCGGTCCTTGGCCTGCTTCATGGCCTGGAACTTCCGACTGCTGATGTGGTCTCTTCCATATAAGGGCACCTTGGTTTGGGGCAGCATTGACTCGGGGACGGGCAGCAGGGTGTCATCGTTAGATTCATCTGAGAGGATAAAGACATGAGGTTTGAGGCCTAATAAAAGGGTTGAGTGCATTTAATTTTGAAAACTGCATTGTTTACATCTGACCAACAGTCAGCGGGGAAATTGTGTTAGACTGAAGGACATCGTATGGCTTGCATGCAGAATCTGGCAGGAATGTGTTTTGCACATGCGTGCTCGTGCATGCACATACTGTTTATGTACTTGTGCATGTGCTAGTAGAGCGTGACATGCAAACAAATGAAAACATTACCCCACAGTGCTACTAGTGGTCACAAAGTCCACTCTCACTCCCACTGCACTAGAATTGAATAAAGTCTCCGCCAAACATGTGCTTTCATTTTTGAAAAATCCCATAATTAAAAAAAGAAAAGCCCTAAAAAGTCATTCAAAACTCCATCCAAAATCCATTTCATGTTATTGTTTATATTAAATTCACATTTTAAACTGGCATAAAACTCCTCAGTTCACAACTGACTCCTTTCTTAAATTATTACAGGCATGGGGATAACAGAATAAAAACACAATTACAAAAGCAAGAACAAGAATGTGCAGCTGCAGTTATCTGAAGCTTGATTCACGCAGGATTACTATTATCAGAGAACTGTCTTCGCCACGGTATGGTCGGTACTTTACAAATTACAGACGTAGCAGGATTAAAATAACCAATGATACCAATTATTACGAACAACTGAATGTCCACAGGTGTAATATTAGTCCTGTGCGAACACGGCTTCAAAGCATTTTTCTGTTGCTTTCAAGAGACTGTTTGAAGAGGGGTCAAAATCAAAAGCACTATGATGACTCCCACCTGGAAATGTACCTATTTGAGTGGCTAAAATTAAAAAGCAAAGTCAAACTCAGGAGGGCACAGGACAGGAGTGTCGAATTTGGAAACGTCACAACACAACGTGATGATTTCACTGCACAAGCTAAATGCTTATTTAGTACAGTTCGTGGCTACTGGCCAGTTTCAGACTGGATGTGTTGACATACTGAACAACATAGCCTACATTTATGGCAAGTTGGGTTGCCAGTTTGGGGTATATGTAGACCAGGGGTTTTAAAACTTTTATAGCCAGTGACCTAAATGAGACATTTAGTCTCACCCTGGCACCCAGGCCCATGAAAACATACTATTACACTTGTCATGTGGCAAGCCACCACAAACAGCCGCAGCCCAGTTTGGGTCCCAACCCCCACAGAAGCCCTCATGTACATGCACCTTTCATCTGTGCAAAAATACAGCTCTTTGCGAAATTCTGGGGAGTCTCACACAGTTGTACAAACCTCAGCCTTCACCCCTCTCCCTCATCCCACCCTCTATTCATTCGACCACAACGACTGTGTTGAGGCCGGATCTTTCTTTCCCAAAAGCTTTAAACTGATATTTCACTTCATTTATAGCTTTAAACATGCATTATCCTTGTATGTGTCCTAAGCCACAGTTGGCCCATTTCCACTGCTGTGTCACGCACTTGTTTCCGCTGCATTTTGGCAGATTGCAAACTCTGCATATAAACCCCTCCATTTCTGCACTGACGTGATCGCTAAGCTACTAAGCTAACTGGGCGGTGAAACAAGGTCACTGCCTTGTTTCAAATGATGCTTAAAACCTCCCAAGCCCCCTCTCCCAGCAGTGATGATGATGAAGATCATGATGATGTCATCAGTGCCCATAATGACAGGTTCTTGGAAAAACCGAGAGATTCCCTCCAGTTTCCTGCTGACACAGTTTTTTCTTTTCTCCAGAGAAAGCTGAGGCAGATCAGCAGCCACTCTAAGTCCAATCAAGTCTTCACTTGCTAATCCTCCATCTTGTCTAATCTGACCTGTGCTGAGTGATCATGTCTTTCATTTTTTTTCCCCTTTCTTCCTCTCTCTTTTCCTCAAGTTTGAATTGAGAGACTCAGGGATCCTGGAGAGCCGGATCCCTGCAGGAACAAAAAACCTTCCTCCCTTCCTTCCTTTGCTCTTAACTAGAGTTTCATGGTTCCACATGCACTTGCAAGCATAACACAAATACTCCTATTATTTTTAGCTTCTATGCAGGTTTAATGATAACTGCTCTCCTCCATAGTGGTGAATTAAAGTAGCTGTGCAAAAAGCTTACTTACATCATGAATATATGGTTTAATAAATCTTCTCCACTATGCATGAAATGTCAGTTTTATCAGTGTGCACATAGGTTTTGTTTAATTTATGTGTCGAGTGAGCGCCAAGCAAGAGATGTGGTGTTAATGGAGAAGCTAGCTGACGGGCAGACAGACGGGAGGGGGGGGGGGGGATCAGTAACCCACGCTCAGCCTGTATTCTGCTGAATCACTGCACAGCCTGGGCCTGCCTGCAGTGCCGAGACAGAGAGGGAGAGAGGAGAGGGCGGGAGGGGAGGGAAAGGGGGAGGTAGAAGAGCGGGGGAGAGCCTGATGAAGGGACCAGGGTGGGACGAACAAAGTGAGGTGGGAGGGAGCAGATGATAGTGTGGGAAAGGGAGGAAGGGGGAAGGAGAGATGAATAGAAGATTGGAGTTTACAGTAATTTCTCAGATGCAGATCTGCTCTGGAGGTTGAAATGGTCTTCCCCCGGTTGAATGAGTGCAGCCAAAGATTTTTTTTTTGAGTGCAAACTGACTAAAAAGAAAACTGATGATAAAAACAACAAAAAAACTGACTGTAAATGTCAGATGGATAGCTAGAGAACATGCTTATCTTTGATAGAGCTAAATTGAATGTAACACTGATATATTTGTCTGGCAATGTCTCAATGCTTCTTTCTTATCTTCTGTCGTTTGTTACTGGACTTAATGCTAATGTTACTTAGCCAGAAAAACTGTGGTTCTTTGGCTCAGCCCACTGAGGTTTAACTCAGCCAGTGAGATTATTTATGTTTCCAGAGTAGCTTTGCTTCAACACTAAAACTCCAATCTGTAGGAAAATAAAGCACAAGACAGACTGGAACGGGTGAAACCAGGGATGGGGGGAGAATAAGAATAGGGTGGAAAAGATGAGGAGGGACAGTAGCCAGGCAGGGAAAGAGGAGAAGAAGCAGTGTGGGGGGAGAGAATAGAGAGATGGAGACAAAAAGGTGGGCTAGGTGTGGGAAAAGGTACAGGTGGTAGATGAGGAAAAGTAGAGGTGTGTGGTGGGGTTGACAAAAGACAGGCTGAAAGACAAAAAAGGAAAAAGAAAAGACAAGAAACTGTAGACGAAGGGAAGATGGTAAAATAGGATTTCACACCTCGGAGATAGTGAGTGCAAGGGCCACAAGCCAAGATTCCCACAAAGCTCTCCTCAGTGCTCCCTGTAGCAGACACAGTGACTGTCCCTGAACTGCCATTCAAAGGAGCCAACAAGGAGCCTCGCAGAGCACCACCTGTAATCTTCTCCCTTGTTTTATGTCAGCTGATGGGCCCCGAGGCGATGGGCCACTCACACGAAACCTACTGATTTACAAGCTTGCAGCCCCACAAGGGCCTTTCAAACCGAGATGACAGGTTGATCGGCACTCGGCACCAATTGTTGACAGAGTTCACAGGGTCAAGACGCATGAGGGCTTTTGAGTCGTGTGCCTTGGTAACGACAGGTGTCGACTCGTCTTAAGGAGGGCTGTGAGTTGACCCGTATCAGCCTCACTGGCTTCCAAAGACAGAGGAGGGCATCCAGCCTCCCTTCACCCTCTTTCTTTGTGTTTCATCCCTCAGCCTCAGTAAACATAAAAATACGTTCATAGCATACCTGACGAGTAGTTTCATGACTGAGTGTGTGTGAGAATTGATTTTTGGACTGGTGATTACAGTCTAGGTCTTTTTTTTTGTTTCACATGCCACTGCATCACTGGCTGACTGTGGGTGTGGGTGTCACTTGTGTGCTTCATTAAAATTCCTGCATTGACAAGGGAGGAGTAACATCTCTGTCCAGCTGTTTGCTATTTCTTTGCACCAGAGCCCTTTAGATCTTCGGGTGGAAACATGATTTCTGCAATGCAATAGAAATACTATCAGAGCTGACATGAATATCAGGAGTATTGACACTATTGGTTAACGAAGGACAGCACTACAGATTTATGCAGCCATCAATTGATGACTCAATTCATTGAGTTAATTAATGTTCAAATTGTCAGTGACCTGTTTAAGCGTAATTACAGTCACTGTGATCTGAATCAGTCATCTCTGCACAGGCCTACCTTTTGACGGATGCAGCAGTTTATACAACTTCTCGTTCCTGCACACCCCCCGGCCGTGCAGGAGCGCGTGCAGCGGCTTCTCCTCGCCGTTCTTGGGCAGGCAGCGGAGCCCGCGCGTGCACGGCCCGGTGTACACGCCGCACGGCTGGCCCTCTTCGAGCGCGCACGTCAGGCAGCAGCCGCAGCCGGGCTCCTTCACCAGCTGACAGCCCACCGGCACCGGCGGACACATGGACAGGGCCTTCTGATCGCACGGCTCGCACGGCACGTACGACGAGCCGCAGCCGGTAATGCTTAGCAGGGGAAGCACCAGGAAGGAAACTCTCAGCAGCATGGTGCGCTTCACGTCTAAAACTGCAGAGTGTCTGACCGAAACCGCGACGATTATCAACTAAATCTCGTGGTGAATCCTTTCTTGGCAAAAGATTTGAGTCCAACCATCAGGGGGTGTTAGCTGCATCCACAGGTGCCTTGCGCGCTAAGGTTCCAAATGTCACCGCATCCGATGCTCGCAATCCACAAAGAGATTCACACACTGACCCCCCCCCCACCCCCTGCGTTGTCCTTCAACCTCGAAGTCACCAATCTATTAAAAAAGACAATAAAATATCCAGACACCACGTATTTGTCCCTTCAGTGATGCCCGGTGCCGTTTACGCGCAAGCTGTTTGTCTCCAAATGAGAAAGAGATTCCCACTCGCGCTCTCTCTGTTGGTTATTTTACCCACACGGTTTGTGAGCAGAATGTATAATCTGTGGCTTTGAGCTTGCCTTTTAAAAAAGAAACTGCCAGAGGCGAAGCCTATAACGATGGGTATGTCAAACAACGTTTGGAGGGGGAGGCGCACTTGTCAACTCCGTGCGCTCAGATGCTGATTTCACAGGGCGGGTGCTGGCATGTCTCCAGATCTGCCAGATACGAGACGATGCTCCTGAAGGCGATGAATAAGACCTTTTCTCTCTCGCTGCAGAGTGGCCATTCAACGTTCCCAGCCTTTTAAAAACGATTATATTCTGGTTGTTTGTGCTTAAGAACAAGGCAGATCACTTCTGACAAGATCAGGCGTCAAGCAAGAGGATTCTGAAAACTCAATTTAAATGTTTGACAAGGCTGAGAGCCAGTGAATCTCCAAACCATGTTGCTGGTCATTTTTAAAGAAAAAAAAAAAACAGTTTGAGTGAGAGTCACGTGGTGCCATTACTACAAGCAAGACAAGAACAATTTGGCATAAAAAGAAAATTAGACCAAACTGAACAGAATTCATGTCACATGCTGATTACCATGAGGAAAATGTGGTTTTAAGGAAAAAAATTTTGAGTCAACATGACTGAATGACTTGTTAAGATTTATGGTGAAGTTTTTCAAAAGTTGCTTTTATGGACCAAATTTCAGTGGTGAGATTATGACCAGTTTATTACTGGTCCCTTAATGTGATTTTTTTTTCTTTCAAAATGGCTTATAAATAAATATGTGGTGATTTTCGCCTGTTCCCCTGGTCACACAAACCATAAAAACAAATAAAGACTCCCTTAACTTCCTGCTCTTGCTAAGATTGACATTTTTACAGTGTTGATCCACACACTGATGAGGGTTTCTTGTGGTAAAACTCTACATTAATGACCTTTTATCATCACATCTGTCACAAGACATAAGCAGACTTGATGATTCTCCACTGTTCTGCACACCAACGCACAATACTTCGATTCCCAGTTTGATTTCTCTACTCCAGAGATAATGTGTTCTCTGGAGAAAGTCCACAGCTCAGATCTTAATCTCCACTAAAATCTAAATACTTGTTCAGATGCAATTAGAGTATTGAGATACTTATGTTGACCACAAACATGGTTTTCATTGTCCCTCTGTAAAGCTGCCAGATGAGATGGACCCCACCATACCCCCAAACCCTAATGTGTGTTATCTGTTCTTTGTCAGAAACGACTTGGTGAAATTTGACCGTGTAATGACACCAAATGTGCTTTGACTCTTCCAAAATTAAGGGTGTGTTTGTGCATGTGAAACAAGAAAGCTTCCTAATTCCCCTCAGATATCTGTGGACTTGTTTTGCCAAAGTACTGTAGCTTTAAATATTTGTGCGATGCTGTCTTAACCATAACAAATGTGCTCTCCAAAGACACAGTGACTGGCTGTAAAAAAAAAAAAAAAAAAAAGGTCCAGATTAGGGCACACTGCACTCAGAGTGACCTGAGTTTACGGCTCAGCGAGGTCAGTGTCCAGTGAGATAAATGGTCAACTCTCATGGAGAGGAGCTGAGGACAAAACGCTCATAATTCACTTGATGTTTTGGCAGATAGCAATATATGTCTGAGGATTGTAGATGATCAGCATGTTTTTGTTTTTAGTAAACAGAGTCCCAGCAGAGTCCAAGATAAGTTAATTTAATGCTTTTGACCCTGGTCATGTTGGAGTAGGCTGTTGCTTCTGTGTATAATTTCTCGATTATCCCGTTTTATTTGATTATTTGCTCACATCCCGTTATTCGTCATGTTGATTTTGCTGTTTAAATGGAGTTTAAGTGTCCTGCAAGTGCCAAAATCTAACCTCAGATGTCTGCAACATCAGTCAGTGCTGAAACTGACCTTTTAAAACCCACGCTGATCAAAGCTTTTGTTCCTTTGCTTTATCGAGTTTCACTTCCCTTTTTTCCCTTCCCCACTTTGTGAAACTTTGCTGGAGAGCTCCGTTCAGATCATCTGACCCCTTTTTGCCTTTTGCCATTGACCTTTGCGCCGTATCAGGTGTCATAAGACGTCACACGTGGCGGAAAGGTCAGCTCGGTGTCGCCCACTCAACCCTTTCATTTCCCTCAGCTACCTGTCTGGAGTGGAAGAAAGAGCGCCATTCAGATGGAAACCTGCACAACACATCTGTCTTTCACAGGTTCCAAAAAAAAAAAAAAAAAATCCATTTGAAAGATCCTCCTGAGACTCTCCTGCACATTTATGATTCATAAATTGATGATTTATGACCCAGAGGCATATTGGCAATGCTAATACATCGACGCTTGTTTTGTTTTATCCAGATGTGAGACGCAGAGGAACTGTGGTCCAAGTGCTGCTAGGGTTCGTAAACGCCGCCGTTAGGTCTGTTAACGTTGGGCTTCCTGTATAGTTTTGGTCCGAGTTGGTGGTTCTCTATATGGGCCATATGATGCACAGATGGTGGATTTAGCTGTTCTGGATAGAGATACAAAAGTTTTGGGATTTCCTTGGGAATCAAGCCAGGGACTAAATATGTGCTGAGGTTTCCATGTCAGACCAGTGTCTATATTAGCAACACACTCCGTCCCTTGCCTGAGCTACAGTTTGGTTCATTCAACTTTGGCTAAGTAATGTTGGGACGTAGCTTTCATCCACTCTTTGTCCAGTGTTACATAAGTTACTGCGATGCTGTAAAACTCCCAAGCAACTCTTCACAAGTCTAGTTTACAATAGAGCCAGGGGCTGAACTGAGCTGCATTGTTTAGCTAGCAGACAACAGCTAATCCTTCTTCTCAGGACTGTGCTAGGACTCCTCACTCTCCTGTTAGCTTCAGTGCACCAGTTAGAATGGGACAATTTTACACCTTCAACGTTCTCATTGGCCCACCGTGTCCAGGTGCCTCTCATTATCCTCGGTGTAGCTGCAACTCCCTCAAACCTGAGGTGAGGCCTGATTAGTCGGGTTAAGTGAAAACACCTGTGTGGCTTTGCGCATGCTGAGATGGAGAACTGATTACAATGCATTTGGCTAATTTGATTTGGTTCACGTGACATCCTTCACAGAAGAACGTCACACACTGAAGTGAACATCCTGTAGCAACCGGTACAGGGCAAACAAACATATTGTTACACCCTCAGCTGTGTTCCAGCTCAAGGACTGAATCCAGGGCCACAATTCTAAATAAGACTAATTATGGAGGAATATCCCATTTCAAACGCTTCCACATTGATCACTGCTAAATAAATCACCCCAACAAACCTGGCATCGAGGCATCAAACTCCACTTGGGAAAACAATCCCGCCACATGGCCCATTTAGTAGGTGTTTTTGTATTTCAATCATATTCCACATTTGCATCCATGATGGTTCCATCTGCTATCGCCTTCATGTCATGATGCTGATCATGTGATGTGATCGAAACATCCAGAACCACTAAATGTTTCCTCAACTATTGCTTCCAGTATTAACAGTGAACTTTGTGTGTGTCCTTATATGCAGCCTGTTAATATTGTTCATCACAGGGTATGACAAAAAATTTGAATTTATATGCATATATTAACATAAAATATTACAGCTGTCTATCATTTAGTTACCATAAACTCTGGTTCTCTTGTATTTACATTTTGGCAGGTGATGAATTTGCAGATGTTTGTCTCACGGAGTTGTCGAGGAGCACCTGAATGCACCATCAGTTTCCCTGCGACATGACCTTGAAGCTCTTCTTATAATTTGTTTGATTATAATTGTTGGCCTCCACGTCCATTACTGTACAAGTGAGAAAACGTGTCGCGAAACAGAGGAGACAGTCGCTTGAATCGCAGCCAGGAACAGAAAGGTAGTGTGAATTAAAACATCCATCCACCAGCCAAATGATGTCATGCTCAAACTTGGACACTCCCCACCCCGCAGCGCTGGTTCGTCTCCAACTCCTATATAGCAGCAGTATAGGAAAGGAAGAAAAAAAAAGAAAAAGAAAAAGACGTGTATGTGTGTGGTAGAAAAAGAGATGTATGCATTTCATAGCCTACCTGTTTGTGTCAAGAGGCTCATGACAGAATACCACCCACCAAAACCTGAGTCTCGGGGGCCTCAGCAGAGCCCTCGGGCTACAGAGGAACAGGAGAGACGGACACACAAACCTTATCAACACTCATCTCCTACAGCAACAGCCCTTTTTTCTCTCTGTTTCCCTGAGTCTTAACCTTTGTCTCTCTGTAACTGGAGCTGCAGGTCAATAATAATTGATAATATGGAAGGTGGCATGAAAGTAGGAACATTATGAAACATGTTTAAGTTATTATCTATAAGAAAAAAAAGGACTCTGCTTGTGGGTGCTCCAGAGGTTTGAGAGGTACAGTAGCGTCCTCTCATCTGTGATTCCCTCCTCTTCCTCCACCATTGTTCCTCTGCTTCTGTCTGCAGCTTGGCTTTCATATCCTGACCTACTTTGTTATCCGTCAAAAGACACCGAGGCTTGCTGCCACACTTGTTCTGGAGGAGATAATGGAGCCGATCGTGAGCAACATCTGAATGGAGAAGATGATCAAAAGCGGCAAGAAGAAGCAACCTCAGCGCAAAATGGCTCAAAGCCCCGCTCCAGTGTCGTATTTCTCTCCAGCCTCCAGGACCCCGGGCTAACGTGCCACATTACAGGAGAGAGTCAGGGGAAGAAAAGTCTGACACACAATGAAGTAATCCTTGTGAACGTGATACCTTGAAAGCCTGTGCTGCACCACGTTTTCTTCTTTTTTTGCACACATTGAGTCCTGCCTCTTAAACATTTATTACTTTATATGATGATGATTTTT